CCCCCCCCCCCCCCGCTTGACAACTCACTGACAGTGCTGGATTTATGCACCAATTTACCAGCTCGCGCGTGCAATGCGCAGCCACTTACCCCCCAATCATCGGTGAACGAAACTGTGGCAGCTACAACCAGTGTACGACCAGTACGCGGTTATTACAGCTGATAATGATGATGATGATGACTCTTACAAACAAGGACAACTCACCTGGCCATGTCAGATGGTTGAGTTAGTTTTGATATCTCTCGACCCGAATAGTGACGCGTACTGAACGACTCCGCTGGTTCGACATGACGGCCGTAGAGACGAAGCGCGGAAAGGGTTAATTTCCTTGACAAGTCTCTGCTTTTGTATAATCTCAACCTCAGGTGACTGACGAGACAGGGCGGGAATACCAAACTGATACACGGAGGGTTCGGTTGCGGAATGTCAAAGGACCGCTCACCATTAGAAGTTCGTGGTGTGGCTTTTGCTTCGTGCGTGGCTACCAGACTGCATTGACTTTGTCCCGGTATGTCTCGATAGCATTCTAAGGTGACAGCTGAGGGCCCTGTATCACACATGTAGCGTTGGAGTGATTGTTGAAAAGTGGAGAGTAGACGATGAGTAGACGAGAGTAGACGATGCAAGACAGGAGTGTGATGTGACTGATAAATAGGATTAACCAAGCAGTTTCGTCAGGATAAAAACTTTATGGTAGGTGGCAGGATACTTGAAACAATACTATTTACAGGGCTGGCGGGAAGCTCTACTCGGACAAACCCCACCAATTACGGATAATGTGAGCGCCAAATCTTCCATGCTGCCGCTTGATGAGTCGATAAAGACCGCATATACATAATTCAAATAAACCGCCAGTTTTTTAATAATTAGGGAGTTCAATCATGATCATCGAAATGCAAGAGAGTGATAACGACGAAAGACACCGATAACAGCGCGTGGTTACCAACTAGTCGAACAGTTCTGTACATCTTTCGGGGACCACCATATGGCTTGCGAATCCCGGAAAGCTTCCGTTGGAATAGTTATAATCAGAGAATACTTAGGAAGGGGCTAATCCACGAGGGCGGAGGGTAGAAAAGATTTTGGAGCAGGCATCTGGTCCTGGTCAGTCGACCAAACGGTATTTGATGGACGTTGAATATGGTTTCAGACGCCGCCTAACTAGGGATCGCACATAACTCTTATGAAATTGTGAATTATGTGTGACATGCAGAGATAACGTGCACGGCTTTCAAAATGAATAAATTGGACAGTTAAGAAGTTAAAAAACGATGGCTGTGTGGTTTCTCCTGAAACCACAGTTTTCTGGATCTTCCTCTTCAAATACCTACCTATTTCGGCCAAGGTGAGCTGGGAGTAATTTTGTGACATGAAGGGATTTTCGTCCTACTCGTCGTGGATTTAGCATTGTTAACTTTAGAAATGACAACAACAGCCAACCAACACCAAAATATCGCAGACTGGAATATCCACAGTATGTCATCAGACATGAATATATTTTGATGGGAACTAGGAACTACGCAAAAAGTGCCACGATGGGGCAAAGCCAAAGCTAAAAAATGCTGAACAAAATTAGTTAGCGAGATACGACAAATTATAAGTCTGCTATCTTTGCATCCTAAGCATCTCTTGTTGCTGATGATGTTACCGCGCATTATTTTCCGTTCTTCAAGCTTCCTAACCCATTTTAGAACTGCCCTCTAATATGGATGATCAGATGCCGCCATTCACACGGGGAATTCGGCTTTGATTATGGAACCAATAGTGTAGTGTGATTCATCCATGTGAGTGGGGAAAAAGAATACACCTCAAAATCGAAGGGATCTCTGGACCAAATGGTGATGGGTCGCGCAGAAGGTTAGTTCATAAATAGAGCTACAACTGACTGGAGATTTCAATGAAATAACTTTCAGTATTATCACGAAACAGTCGGATGCTATCTCCCTTGCACGAGTAACAATCTTTCAACGTATATAACCACTGGCAATAGCCGGAATAAATAGCATATCGAAGGCTGAGCGGACTATCCTTCGTTCTGTAGGGTACAATCCAGGAGAGCGAATCTCACTGACTAACAAGTAACTATTAAATAAACCTTTTACCACGAAACACACCTCTAACCAATGCATAAAGCGGTAGGAGAATGAAACAGTGTTGACCAGACAGTGACTCACCTTGTTCTACCGCCGTATCGGATGATTCCATCACAACTGAACATAACCAAATCAGACATGGGAACCGAACAGTTACACTTACAAACCGCTGAGATTGGTCACTAGCTGCCAGGATCGAAAGAAGTTGGTCACTGAGCGACGAAGTAGATTTTGCCAAGATGACTGCGAGGTCGGCAGTATCACGGTCGACGTTGCGACTGAGGGAACCCAGATATAACGGGAATGTGGTGTTTCCAGAAGGGTTTCTCGCGGCCAGGGCCATATTTAACGAGGCAGATTCCCCATCGATAACGTCTGACTGAAACGAAGCAACTGAAGAGAAGTCACACAATGGCTTCCCATAGGCATCCTGTTGAGAAGTCATCGTGACCCCTAAAAGGGTATCCTGGATGGTCATTGGGGTTGGTGGGATTCGTGCAACATTGCGCCAGTGGTCTAATGCGGACCCACTGAAGGCTGTGATGGGTGCACTTATTCCGGCAGGAAGGTAGTGTGTAAGCAGACTGGACGAGGCAGACGGGAACTCTCCATTGGGGAGCCCATGGACAACGGCCGACTGGCCTAATTCCGAAATCCCGAGATAAACCCTGGGTTCAAATTGCAAGTCACTGAGAAACGACTGAATCCGCTGGTTCAGTAAACCGCTCATGTCAGCATCATGCGAAGATTGAAACAGGAATGTCCGGATAGAAATCTCCGCGATTTCGTCATCTTGCCCGCAAATGTCCGAATAGCAATATGCTAGTAGGAGGAGCAGGGGGCAGGAAACGCGGTTTGATGTGGAGGAGGAACGCACGTGGTGCAAGAAATAACTTCTTGATATCGAATGTTTGGTAACAAAAGTGATCAAAGCAAACAGGACCCAATCCATTGTGGTATTTGGATAAAAGTCATTGAACAGCTGTTCGGACAAGCGGCGAAGTGTCGGCCAACCACCAACAAGGCAAGCAAGGGTCACTATACGGCACACCTCACGCGGAGCGGTAGCCCTTTGCAGGAGATCGATAAGGAGTTCAATCGCAAATCCGGTAAAGTAGAAGAAGGAGGAATGAGCATCAGTAGCTTCGGAATCAGACAGCAATCGAACCAGAAGACAATAGAAAATCCGAGCCATGAGACGACCATGAAAATCAGACGTCGAAATGAGGGAAGAGTAGGTGGGTGCATCCGAACACCGACCGGGAAACAGGCAACAGACCAATCTGGACATTCCAGAGTCAGCATCAGGATCTTCATCGCGTTCCGAAAACTCGACATCATAACCTTCCAATAACCGCGTCGACCATAAAGCGAATTTCGACTGAGAAGCTTCGTAATCTGCGTCAAATATGGTTGACCGAGCTGTAAGACACGACCGTTCTTCTGCATTGCAGAGGAACTTCCCATTGGTTCCATGAAAACACTTAAGAACGTTGGTGGTCAAATCCAGCAGCAACTCGAAAGAGAGGTTGGTAACAGTGTGGGAGGAGCACAGAACGATCGGACAAGCTTCAGACATAACCTTTGTATTGAGCACAATCGGCTGGTGAATTGTTTGCAGTCGACGATATACGGCCTCCAGCAGTACAGCCTGAAGGTCACTTGGGCCACAGTGAAATCCGATCGATTTAGATGGTTCACTGATTTAGTAGGAAGGATGAAACAACAGTCCAACGAGTGGGTAGTAAAACTAAATGCAAAACAGTTGATTTTCTAGGACTACAGACATCAATAAGAAGATATCTATGCATAAGAGTACAAACACAATCTACCACATCATTTTCGCCTCCGTGTGGTGTTTGTGTATACCTGGTTACAGCATTATTTCCCAAGTATTCGTAAGCCGCTACAACCTTTCGTTACACCGATGACCCGTACCAACGCGCCTTTTCGCAACGGTAGTGGGGTAAAGTAGAGTAGGAGGTACTTGGGTTTATTGTCTTATTGCATTACACGTGCTCGTTTTGTCAACCAACCGCTAAAACTCAGTGATACTCCCCACTCATTGCGACAACAGGAGATAATGTAAACAGGGATGCAGTCTTACAGTTGAGGTCATCTGTTTTAGGGGGCCCATGGGGGGTCGGTAGAACGCGATCACTTCGGTGGGATGCTTGCTGTAGAGCACGTGAAAAAGCCTACTCGTGGGTTGAGTCCAAATTTGAGGAGGCATCGTTTGTCTACAGAGATGAACAAAAATGACTACATGCACCAACTGGGCATGATCTATTATGAAACGAACAACCAACATGCGCAACGTGCTCATTTACCTGTTTTTCTTCAATGGTCTGTTACCATGATTAAGCAGGGTCAAGAAACGCTCAATACAGAATCGATCGAAGGGATGGACTGAATCGCCGGCAGTTGGTTTCCAAGTAGTGAATGCAAACCAGGAGAAGAGAACCTCCATGGCATGTGTGCCAAGGACACCGACAACGTTCGACTCAGACGTTGGAGGCTTCTGTAGGATGAAATCAATGAACGCGGAGAACTCTTGGGACTGAAGTAAGTGAAGCCGAAGTGTATCGGACTGTGAGGCAACTGTGGCGACAAACCGTAAAGTAAGAACGATCATTTCCATCACGGAATTACTGACGGTTTTCACTTCTGTTAACAGGTCCTGTAATAATTGATCCAGGACATCGATATCCAAGGTTATTATCGAGTCCGATGGAGTGACGGTTAATCTCCAAGGTCTAAAGAAGAAGAAGTAGATGAAGTTAAGGAAACCTGATGATCTTCTGGACTGGTTCAGATCGGAAGCAAAATGTAACCAGAATGGACGTTATTCTAAGACAGATTTCACCCGGCAAGGAGTCCTGCAGTGAACACCCGAACTTTTACCTTTAACCTATGCCTCCCTGCCGAAAGGATCCATATCATCAACCAAAGGCACTGTACTGTTTAAGCGATTAATAAGGAATAAGTAAATCGTACCACGGTTGGAAATTCTACATCGTTAATGAAAACTAATATAATAAAACTGATAAGATCTATGTTGGTGATGCTATTGGCAACAAAAACCGCCATAAAATGTGGCGAGTATCGAAGCATGTGTACGGCGAGTGATGAAATTTATGTTCCCCTGGCTTTGACCTGAACGAGCTCAGCCGTTACTTTTAAGCATGTTAAATTCACCGAGTGTGATCGTTGATACTTACGACCGTACTGTTACGGATGGTTCAGCATTGGAAAGTGTTTAATAACATGCAGCGAGTGACGTCAACCGACCATCTATTACCACTGTTGTTCACGGCGTACCAACATCACGGAAGGCCAATTCTGAGGTAATTGCCCCCTTTTGTCGATTTCCTCGCTCCTTACACGAATAAATTACCAGGACAGTTTTGAAATTTAGCAAAACATCACCAAGTAGATGCAGAAGTTCAATCCATGGTATCGATCCCAGTAGCTAGAACATTTGTTAGTAATTCCGATCAAACCAACTTCATCGCAACTGTTGTTTTTACCCGACTGTGGCAAAAGTCTTCGCCCGGAAACTTGTGTACATGGGACCACTAGTCTCCGAGTGTAGTTGGCAAACTACAACCCTCGTTCGGGAGCTTCACAAAATTCGGAGAAGAATTAACTTTCATAGTTCTTTATCTTTTTTTACGATGTTTGCCAACCCAACCACTGAAACTATTCAAAAGGAAAAAAGTAACCACATGGAAGCGTGGATAAATATGAGACTTTATTAACAGCCGGAATCGGGTAGTGTCAAACTCTAATTGATGCCGTTTGGTTTAACTGTTACACTTATATGCGATCCACTTATTACCAGGATGCATTACTCATACGGTTATTGAAAACCTTCTACGCCTTTTCACATCCTTATTTTATGAAACAACATCTATGTGGATAATGATCACAGAGAGTGACAGTCAACCTGGGGGGACTAATGTGGGTTCAAACATGGGTTGTTAAAACGACAATCTACGACGTTATTCATGTAAGCTATCCGTCGGTCATGTGAACTCGTGGTTTAACCAACTTCCCTAGGTAGACAACCACTGGCCTGTCAACCAGGGTAAAACACCGAACACCTACTTCCACCTTTCACTTAAAGCAACCACCACGACAATGCAATGAAGAATTATTAACTAGAAGGCTCTACGCGAGTCGTAGGGCGGGGAGCATTAGTCACACAATAGCTGCAAAACCTTTGTGAGTGGAGTAGAACTTTTGCACCAAACTGTTGAATTTTGTTGCGAATGTGCTCAAAACAAAAACCACCCTAATATACATCCACATTTTTGCCGCTCACCAAATTTCATTGTCCACTGAAGGAATCATACTTCTAGCAAAAAAAGTTTGGTGGAATACTTTCCTAGCATGGTTGAGACCCCGGGATGCCCACCTGAGACTCCGAAGTTTGGACTTGCACTCTGAACTCAACTGCCTGTTTCTTTTGGTACACCGGGGACACGTCGTAGCTTTCGAAAATTCAATTCCGTTGTGCGAATACTGTGTGCCTCGTAGAGCATTTGGAGGCGGGCTGGTTATAGACGGGCCAAATTGATTTCCCAGCACGCACATCCCACCACACCGAAACATCTAACAAGACGTCCCTGACCACAAGTAATTCTTCGCTTAAAATTCACAGGCGTACAAGGAGATATGGAGACTAACACATCTAGGGGAAACAAGCCGGTCCTTTCCAACAAACCATTTGATTATGATGAGTTTGACAACAGAGGATTTAGGCTTGAACAGGTAGAACTTCGCACGAAATCAAGTGACATGCGTGCAGCGAGCAGACGACGGTCGCTTACAGTCGATGGGTATATCGCAGCGGGAATATATAGACCATCAGCGTTACCTTTCACACCAGTAAGAAAAGTACAGTTCCGGAAGCGAGTGCGCAGACACCGAAATCTGACAATCGAAATGCTTTAAATCAAACTTCCTTACTTGAGATTTTGTCCGGTAAGTAAACCCAGTTTAAGGTTTGAAAAAGAAGCACGGTACACTGTTTCACTCTTATTGGGAATCATCAGGGGTGCATACCCCACGAAACTCTAGGGAGTTTCGAACCCTTCCCCCCCCGGCTAGTAGTTGAAACGATTGACATAACGGCTGATTAGCACATCGATCAAAATGCAGTTCAGATGCTCGTGGCTGTTGAAACTACTAGCCGGGTGGTCGCAGGCTCCAAACTCTCTGGAGTTTCACAATAAGGACGAAACGTCTGGTTTACCGCATAGGTTAACTTAAATTACTGGTCGAAACTTCCATTAAAATTCCAAAATCTCGTCATGCTACAACAAGCTTCTTTAATCGGAAATTGAGGGGTAAAATGTGGAAGAAATAACTGGTCCATTGTAAACGAGTGGGATATCACGGAGGAAACTATTATAACGAACAGAATTAGTGAAATATAGCTTCAGCATGAAAGAGGAATGGAATACAAACTTACTCAAAACGAGGTTCACCAGAAAGGGCAAGAAACAGATGCAGAACGTTCTTCGTATTCACACAGCTGTCAGCAGGTCCAGCAAGAAGAGATGCTGACTGTCGACGCAGCAGCTGCGCGAAGCACTCTGATATCAAATTGAGCAACGTTCGTCTTCCGTCAAGGGAAGCTGCGCCGTGAAGTAGGTCTACAGAGTCCGGACTACTCGAGGTGTTCAGTATTGATCGAACTGCACCATTAAGTAGGACAAACGGCAAGCTGGCACAGGGTATAGAACTAAGCGGGGTCGACGGGTATTCAGTTAGCGAAGTGAACGGTAGAGAGGTAAACGTCTGGATGTCGCTGAAATGTAGATGTGTGATGAGGAACGCGCGAATCACTAAACAGATAGGTTTGACATTACAGTTACTTGTTTACAGTGAATTCTTTGTTTCTTTCTCGCTTCTTTTAGAATAATACTGCTACGTGCAAATTTCGTCCCCACTGGCCAAGATGAGTGATGTATATATGAACAGACACTAAAATGACTGAAATCGCTTCATAACTCAGAGGCTTAAAGTGCCTGGTACAGGAACAAATTAGAGGGAAATTCAACCAGTACATTCATCGCACCCCGTAAACGATGTGGAACGTACTGCTTGGCATCTAATCCACAGAATGATTGAACACCTACTGTCTCGCATCATGGCATGTGACCAGTACGAATGCAAACCACCTGATAGATGAGAACCATCAGATCGATCCGGTGGAATAGTTCGGCGTGGTCTACTAAGTGTAGCCTAACCATTCAGGGGTCATGCATCAAGACATTCAAAACACTGCAAGCGATTTCAAATAAGCCACCTGAATCCAAAACATCATACGAACCCTGTGTATCCAGGGCAAGGTTCCGTCTTCCCAATTACTACCAACTTCTGCGTAGAAAACGCACCAACTCGATGGCACCCTCATTTACTCGCTACGCACGAAACGAGTGGGAAACCACCCACGAGAATATTAGTCAACTAGAAGGAAAACAAACTGAGCACGTTGGGGACGTTGACGGTGTATGAACGCTAAGACGTCGGCACACGGATTCGTTTCATCATTGGTAACAAAACCGACGTCGAGAGGAAGAAACTCTCCCGCCAGCTAAACACACCGGCAGCACGCAAGGGTGCAATTCTTGTCGAGAAAGCTGGGTGCTACGTTTTTGGTGGCTTTATTATTCGGGTCTAAACTGCATTAGCCCCATTCAAAGAGTAACCAACCTGAATTTGGAGCTTAGTTCGAGTTCATACAATCAGTTATCTTAACCACTTTCATCCGAGAGATCAACGCTGGTCAATCCGGGTCACAATTTGAACACATCTCCATACGTGAGCCTTACATGCACTCAAGCTACTACACACGAACGATAAGGTTTCCTTAAAATTCTCAACTCCGATCTACTTCTCCAGCCCATTATGGATATGTTCAATTCTCCAACCCCAGCTCCCGCCAGAAATGAGAAGTGACGATTTATAGTCTTAAAAACACTTTCCAATTCACCTAACAGCCTGAAGATCCCGAAATTGATAATTAACATGAGTTCTGTTTTGACGAGGTGTCATCACTTACTAACGTACCAGTCAATGAGGCAACAGTATGTGGTTGTAACCTGATTGAGGATAGTACCACGGATAACAGTGCTCTTAATACGGACCGGAACGAACACTTACTTCCTTGCACCCACAACGTCCAGCTTACCTCCATCAAAGAAATCTACCGGCACAGGACAGAGCTACAACAGGATGTTCTTTGATAGCTCGATGGTTCAGAGGCGAACTTACTCACAACAAAGCCCATGGTTCGACCCAGCATGTCGAGTGTACCTGTCTAGGCTTTGGCAACCAGGCAGTGTCCCAGCTCTCGTGTCTCTTTCGGGTTGCACTGCAGCTGGGCACCAAAAGAGTGTTACAGCTGAATGAGTTTTTCTTCTTTGGATGCACTTCTGATAGATGGATCTATGGGCAAACTTGGAATGAAGGAGCTAAGAACACTTATCGAGGAACTCACACTATATAGCTGCTGGGTAGGTGATATAGCCGTATTGGCTAACGACAATATGAACTCAACTGACGTCTTGAACACGTTCAACTCAGCTTACTGTAATATAGAAATTGCTCCCTAACGGGAATAAAGGAGTCAACGGAACTTCATCAACATTGCTATACTAGAGAGGATCGATAAAGACACAGCAGAAAATCCACAGAAAGCAAACTTGGTCGGCTCACCACACTTATTTCGGAAGTCTCTTACCACTACAACAGAAGCGAGACCTAATAAGATTTCTGTCCCAGAGGGTAATGAACGCAAACTCCTTCGATTGTCTACAGCGTTTGGGACACATATTTCCTGGCGTTCACTTTCCAGTCAGAATTACATCAGCCACAAGGAGCTCAGTTAGGTGCATATGCGGCGCAGCGTCCGGAAACGGATGCCAGTACTTAAGGCATTTGTCAGTCAGGATACACAGCAACAATCCGCGTACACTGAGAGGTGGTTCGAAGTAGACTAGCTCGAGTCACATCGAGCAGGAACCGCTCATGTGACAGAACAAGAACAAGCTATCCAACATGTTCCATACCGAGCACAACCACTAACCAATCGCTACGCACCACCATGCTCCCAAATAACGCGCTGATGATGTCACCACGATTGGTAATGAAACGTTTGCAATCAAATTGCCCAGCTCAGCAAACAGTCCAACGACCATTCATATTATCATTATTGTATTGGCACAAAAGCTCCTTCCGGTTTCACGAACTAGTCTGATCGTGCGGTAATCAGTTTGATTCGGTGACTCACCATGTACTTCTTGCCATCACAGATTTACGGGCAGAAGTACTCAATCATACAGTGAATGATATTATTAATTTGGGGTACATACACTGGTCAAGGTGATTAATCATATGAAAAAGGGTTTGTTCGCTACAATCGTCCTTATCGGAAATTCCGCGCCTAAGGCAATCCCAAAGACGCTTCCGTGGGAGACATTCAGGTTAAAGTGAGTGACAATATTTCTCAGCTTTAATCAACGAGGCCCCACTTAGTGGCCTCACGTTCTCATAGTCTGAACATGAAGGTAGTTAGGTGATGAAAAATACTGCCAACAACTCCTATACGTTAAAATGAATGTCAAAACCTAGCTGTACAGATGAGCTGTGACAGTCGTATTGCCCTAAACACTCCTCGAAATTGGAGTTCGACGATGAAAAAATCACCTTGAAAAGTTATAAGCTTACTTTGAGTCGTCGAGAGATTTAGAAGATGAACCAGCTCCGGTGGATCGCGCCAACGGACTTGTATACCTCAAAATTAGTGTCAATCCATGGATAAGTAGATCCTTCGCCGCTGCCATCACCTCATCTGTGGTGCAACACAAGCGATGAATTAACCGGAAAAGGGGAGATTCGGAAAGTTTGCTGGTCCCTGGGGCAAATATTTCATTGATCTGGTCAGATGTCAAATGGTTAACCAAACGTCCGATCAGCTTGCAAACTAGGAAAAAGCTCTGCGGGGACACAGATTCGGTGTAGCAACGATCGAAAATCATTGAAGGAAACTGAACCAAACCCAGGTGAACCAGTTCATTCACTGCGGAAGGGATCATTTGCTGTAGGACCAAGATTGTCTTGGATGGCGACGATATATTCACCCCACGTGGGACTTCCGGCGTCAGGACTGCAGAACCATCAATCAATAGCCGCGGACCAGGTAGTGCAGGAATACCAAATCCTGAAGACTGAGACAAGGTGTTGTTACTTCCAGGTGCACCAGATGGAATACACTGTTTTCAGAAAGGTGGAGAATGTAAACAAAAAAATGATATGCTACCAATGTGCGGCTATTAAATTGGTTTTGTTTACCATATTGGACAGCAGCAGGGGGCTTCCGTTTTTAGCTGGAATAAGGAATACGAACCTGTCGAGCTACCAGAGCAATCCTAATAAAATATATCACCGAAAGAAATGTGACAGAACACTAGTTCATTCAATCTCAGAACTCATATACGGGGGATAACGGAAATGTACTGGAATACTGGTGGCTCTGCGAACAGATCAACGGCCACCTGATTAACCACCAATAGGAGATACTGTTCAAAAGATAGCTAGATGAACGTTGGTCGTTGGCATATAATGGAGACTAATAATAAAAAAGCAGGAGAGTTCAGTTGAACAGCGGTCCAGCTGGTAAACATGACAAACTGACTCACAGAGAGGGGACCTGCCGTTTTGGGAGCTACACGTCTCACATGAACTCATCATGCTCCAACATACTGACAATTTTGACAGTAATTACAATAATGAGCTGATTAACACTCACGGAAATCTATCCAAACGACGAAAAATGAGCAAGAATATCCGTATGAATAAGAAAAGTGATTCAAGAGGGGTGACGACAACTCAAAAACCAAAACTTCTATCGCAGTTTCCTTACAAAGACAACCGAGGCAGCAAACCATGAGGGTCACCCTAATGAGTGCGTCCTGAAAAAAGGAGTACAAATTTCTGATAAATAAACTCAAGTATACGGCGCACTAAAGCATCGTGAAGTTGCTATTCATAAATGTTCTTGTTCGGTCGAAAACGTCCCTAAACATTCCATACACACTGAGCTTCGATTCCCAACTTTCTGTCAAAGCAGGTCTATCGGTTTCAGTTGGTTATCAGTCTTTAAACGTATCATCATTCCGGTTGGCCAGATCATGTTCATATCGATGGCTCCTGAGGTCAACTTCATTTGTCATACAACTCCCACTAAATAACTTTGTTCTCTACAGTATCACCAGTAAATTTGATATGTTAATCCCTACTGTAGTGAGCAGAACGTAAATACCAAAACTAAGGTACGTTGCAAGGTATAATCTAATCCTGCAGTGAGTCAAACTAGTATAACATGAGTAAATAGGTGCGATATTTTATCGAAATCGATCGATACCGTAACATTTTGATTAAATGAAGTTTGCTCACAGCAAGTCCACAAATGCTTTCTTTGGTGCCAATGCCGTTTCAAAACGGTTCTCGAGTGGTTCTCTCCATAGGAAGGCCGCACCGAATAATAGAACCTGAGAGCCTTATGGCGAACTGGTCACAACATGCACTGATTGGTCAGAATCCAACTGTCCAGTAAGACGTTTCGGGTTCACCACAAACGCCAGAGCAAACTTGTTGACAATTCGTATCAACAGAGTTATGGTAATCTCATGTTGTCAAGTCACACATTCCAGCTTTCGTGCGTTTTGAGACATTGGTGGGCAGAACAGCGTGTCAAGTGCACGGCATAGGACCAAGCGGTCACGACAGGCTCTTGTTGGAAAAATAGGCTATATAATACATTTTTATTTCAGACAGAGAACACCGCCTTTGTCGGGAGTCGGTATTGACTGAACTGATTTGTGTGGGTGGTACTACGATTAAATCGACCTGCCACAAAAGCTGGAGAAAGGAACCATCGGAACGCGTTACGTCCGAAGTCCTGATCTGTATCTACTGCTTATCAGTTTCTAAGCAGTGGGGTAGATGGATTTTCGCTACGCAAGTGACCTCGGATAAGGAACAGATTCCAACACCCATAGGAAAAAGTTTCGAAAAGCTACTGCACCGACGTACCAGGCGCATCAGTGAAAGCAGACGCAATTCCATGGAACGTTCAACGAACAAGGAGCCCAGCGGGAACTGATCTCGAACAATGCGCTCGTACCGCTGGCGACGAGCAGCTGCAACCAAAAAAAATGGAATTCCATAGAATCAACCAGGTATGCAGGCATTTGGCGACAGTGGCTTTGTAACATTAGAATAAACAAACGGCTACGTACCTGTAAATTTCTTCAGGTGCTGTGACAAACGATGTACATGCCACCGGTAGAAAATCGCCCTGGAACATTCGTATCGTGCAAGTGGAGAGTTGGTCAGATTTGTAACATTCTCTCGAGGCAAGTTTGAGCCGGATTCACCATCTTTAGGGAACGACTGGAGCCGTTTATCGTAGTACCACCGAAGTAGTCCTAATCGACCGATGAGAGAAGACTGAACAGCACCTTGACTATCTATTACCTCAGCAAGCTTACGCACGCACGTAGACTCCACACCGACAGATTGCGATTCGAACAGCAGGTCTAAGATGACTAAGACCACCTCTAAAAGGTTTCTATCGAAAAACGATTTCGTTGTCCGCACCATGAGCTGTAGGATGTGGAGGCATGATCGAAAGAGAAATGGTGCCGATCCCGTACGAATTACATAACGAATAATGGTCCAGAAGGCAAAAGAGCGTCTGGCAAGCGTAGGCGAGCACAAATCGACACAACCTGATTCGACCATACTTCGACTTGGTTCACTGTTGGAGTAAAGCAGTGAAAGAAACCAATCGGAGTCATGGATTGGTTCGTCGACAGATCGGCAGTGCTGCCACATATTCAAGAGATGTGGGATTAAGGCAATCGTCAAGACCTTTTTGAAAAACGAAGGAGAGAGGGGGGACAGCGGAAAGGTTAAATGACAAAAAACTGAACTTGATGTGACCGACAGTGCTGTTAGGGCTCGTAAGTAATCTATCTTAACAAGACAGGCTCTGTGTAGGTCTTCAAGTGATTTCCTACAGTATGCAGTTTAGTTTCCACTTTCCAGACCTTATATAGGCCTACCCCGAGTCGCTCCATATCAATGCCTGTGTCCAACCTCCAGAGGGGAAAAGCGCGACAACTTAGTAAAAATGGTTCTTCCACGAACGCAATTGTGTGTTGTCACGCAAGATGACAGAATGATTCTGTACAGCCTGGCCCTGACCACATGTTCAGCAGCACACTAAAAGTAAGAAACTGCTGGATTTGACCATCAAACAGAGCGCCGGATAAGTGGGTGATTGAAAAGGAAGTAACAAAAAAGTGGTAAGAACAATTATTCTGCTGACCAATCAATGAATTTTCATCAAATGCTTCGAAAAGCAATGCAATATGTTCTCTGAACTAGATGAAAGTTAAGAACGCTTCTTCAAGTTTTACAAGACGACTTATAAAAGCAAACACTGTCCTAACATGAGGCGAATCTTGCGCTCTAATTATTGTGTTTTCAACACGGATGGCGTTTCAATCAAGACTTCGGTGTGTACGTGAAGTCCATCTGTACTGAAAAGTAGAGACTCACTGTAAAGCTGTTTTATGCTGATTGGGAATCACTCTCGTGAATCTCCGAAAAGATGCGCACACGCGTCCCTTGGCTTATAGTTGAGGACTAAACCGCTCGGCTATAGGGGGCTGATCAGCGGTGTAATTGACTAGCACTCAGATAGTACATAGCGCCACTTATCTCTCGATCACGACGTGACTCCTCGTTTTGACGACGTTCCAGGTGGAGCAAGATTCATGCAACTTGTGAATATTTGCTTGATATTACTTCTTGAATTATTATTTGAAATTATTTATTGTTTACTGAGCGTCCACTGAAAATAGCTTTAGATAAAGTTCGGTCTCACATATCGGAGGAACACGGTACTTGTGGGATCTTTGTACGAAGGTTGTATGCCCCTCTGTTACAAGATTTATCCCGCTGGAATCCTCGCGGAAAAGCCTGCTTGGCGGGCCCTTAGGATAGATGTTACGACTTTCAAGATACAGAATTTTGTCAATCTCTGTTGTGTTTGACGGTTGATGTCAATAGCACTGCTGCTACATTTTTATGCAATTGACTGTCTGGCTGGGCGGAAAATTTCATCTCAGTCTCGCTGGTGTTAGAATCTGTTGGACCAGATCACAAACCGCTAACACGAGCTTGGGGGCAATAATGTTCGACAACAGAACCGCAACTCAATATCCGCGGACTACCCCACTATATAATTATGAGTGTGGTGCCATTAGATGACGTCCGGCTACAGTTACTTTGTGATTATAGGTGAAATTTACTTGCTCGTAATAACCAACAGTTTAGCGGATTTAAAGAGTTAGCGCATCGCTACTGCGTCTCTGCCACACATACTCGGCGGTATTGGATATCCGCAGTAAACACTACAAGTGGGATGAGAATCCTACTACGTTGAAGGTGCAATGAAAAAGAATGTTCGACGAATAACAGGATAGAAACAAGTAGATCATAAGGTTGACGAAAACTCGGGGACTGCGCCTACCTGACGAGCCCCAAGAAGGGCGAAACCGGTCATGGGCTGTCGAAGAGTTTTCAGCAACCTTGTGAAGGATAGGAACAATTTTGTGACAAAGAGATGGGGGGAAGAGATTGTATTCCCAACGGCGAAATCGTGATCCATGTAGGCCTTCAACAATGCTCAAGTCGTCTGCTAGCCTATATAAACCACGTTTCCAGACAGCTGAGGGTGTGAGTCAAGCAACATCGATCCAAGCCAGTAAACTCTTGGGCTGCGAAGGAACTCGTTCACCATTGAACTTCATGCCCAGACTTCTCAAACTTCCGCGACTCCCAATGTGCTTGCAACTTGTACTGACATAGGAGGCGTGAACGGTAACAGGAATCAACTATTTCAGCCAAAGGTGATAACGTTTCTTGGACATAAAACAGAACAACGAATAATCTCAAACTGGAGGAGTGGCCGAGGATTTGACTGGTGGTAAGGCTTGTATCGACTACAGTATAAACAGGAAATCCATATTTCTAAGCTGACAGATACATATTCAACAAGCAAACAGAACAGAGCAACTGCGTGTCAGCCTTTAACAACGTACCTGCATCGATCTAGTGCCGCTCGGGAAAGTCGTGCGCATCAGAGTGGACAGCATTTCATTTAGCTCCTCCTTGAACGGTGGAACATTTTGCCTTTGTGAACGTTCCAGTTGTGTAGTGGAATCGATAATGTGAGTTTTTAGTTGCGTCAGGTGCGTAAGTAGGGATAGCATGCAATTCTCCAGCAAGTATCGCGTATTGTCCACAGGTAACGTGCATAGCAGATCCATCGCAGACTGTGATAAGCGGTGCGAGACATTATTAGGAGACAGTGGACATTTTCTGCGAGCAGGACGAGTACAACCATATTTGATGTGTGTATGAATCAAAAATTGAAAAATTTATCCGGGAGAAATAAGAAATTTCGAAATGTCTGCCTCAGTCGGTATATTAGTCCGAGCAGATCCAATAATGAAGTGCCTTAAAATAACGTCACAAGTTCGTTTGCCTAATGTTTCAATACGGCTATTCTTATACACACAAGCTAGCCTAAATCAAAAGGCGCTAGTCTGTTTGAAAAATTTTGATCGACAAATTTCAGATCGTTCGGTTAGACTTAGTGTTGAGATACCGTTGGGAAGAGAATGGAACATATCGTGGTACGACGGTTTGCGTACCACGGTAGCCCATTGCGCTGTACTGGACGATGCTTGTACAGCATCCAGGGAATCTCTTTTACCAGGTTGATCAATAGATAAGTGTCTGGCAAACAGACTCATGGTCCTCATTGTTGAAAGTTGGAACAAGCGTGATAATTTACTCCTTAAAAATGGGTTAATCGAACACTCCCAAACCAAACACCAGTGCCTTGCGGTCAGGCTTCTGAGCCAGAGGTTTTATCTGAGAACCCTAATCGTTCTCCTAGGTTTTCGCGCCCTAACAGTGGCTAAGCTAACAAACAACCATGGATTATGACAGTTAAGCACCTGCATGTATTACTGGTGTACTGATGTCAGCGACGAGAGTGGTGTTCTAAGGAGTGTGCGTAACTGGTGGAGGTAAGCACGTAAGGCTATGCTCTGCGTATATATATATATATATATATATATATAGTATATCAAAAACTCTCGTGTGTGCACAC